TATATATATATGTATATGTATATATGTATATATATATATATATATATATATATATATATATATAAAATATTTGTATATCCCAATTTTCATCTCTTTTGTAACGGATGGGGAAAGAAGTTAAGCTCATTTAATTACTCATGTGGAGTGGATTTCGAGGACAAAAGTGTCAGCCTTGATGGTTCATACAATGCACCATGTAATTCCGTAATTAAGTCCTACTAACGGAATACATAGGCTCTGTTTTCCTTTTCCTTAGCATAATTCTACCTGGTTCGATTCGGCTCCGCCAAAATCAATGCGCGCTGATGCGCGAACAATGCGTGTCTGACATAATATACGATACAAGGCTAGGACGGACCTGGCTTGTGTGCGGCCAGCTTCTCTACGACACTGCCATAGTCTTATACCATTGTGTGTATCAGTTGCAGAGCAGGCAGGCTAATTACAAGACAGAAATTAACCTCTTATTTACACTTGATTTCCAGTCCCAAGTGTGTACAATATGCGTGCTATGTAAATACACGCAGATGCGGTTCTTCGATGTTAATCCTGAGATGAATTATTATCATTAATATCATTTACCATGAAGATATGCATTGCTACTACCAATTGTATTATCGGTAACATAATAACTACAATTATAAACAAGTTCCTTATTTAATTCAAAAGAGCTATTAATAATATCCGATTGATTGATTATCTACATTTCTTATGAAAATTGACGGATGAAGTTTCATTTCAAGGTATACAGTACTGTCACTAATAAATCTAGAAACATTATATTTGAATAGTTTGATTTTTTAATTTATGAGTTCTTAACATTCAATCCAAACTTAAAATGAGAAAACGTTTTACTTGTACAATGCGTCTAAATAAGACCGTTACTTGTATTGTTTGCAAGACTCTACACAACAAGTAAAAAAGTGAATACAAGTGAACAAATTTACAAATGAACAGGTAAACAAATAAATTAATGAATAAGTATACAGATAAACCAGTGAATAAGTATAGAAATAAACCAGTGAATAAGTAGGCCTATACAAGTAAGAAGTGAATAAGTAAACAAATGAAAGTAAATATAAATAAGTGAAGAGGCCTATACAAGTAAACCATTGAATAAGTACAAGTAAACAGGTGTATAAAGAAACAAGTGAACAAGAATACAATTAAACCAGTGAGAAATATACAAATAAACAAAAGAATAAGAATCAAGTGAAAGAAATACAAGTGAACAGTAAACAAGAGAACATGTACGTAATAAACCTGTAAACAAGTGAACAAGTAGGCATATACAAACAAGTGAAAGAAGTGAACAAGTGAAGAAGTACGAGTAAACAATTGAATAAGTAAAAAAGTGAACAAGAATACAAGTAAACCATAGAGTAAATAAATATAAACAAGTGAATAAGTATACAAGTGAAGTCAATTTAGTGGTCGTATTGTAATTTATATATATATATCTGTCTCTTATACACATCTTAATATATATATATGTATACATAAAATCGTACAAATAATTAATATTAATATTAATATCTTTACATATATTAATATTAATATCTTATATCCCTATCAGACAATGCCGAGGCCTAGTACTGATGATTCCCCTATACAGTCATTAATAAATACGGGGATTACCTTTACCTTATAATACCTTATAGGGCGACATATACTGTATGTGTCGTCACTTTCTATAGAAGTTTAACGCCTTAACTGTATGTTTGCTTCTATAATCTGTAAGATTTCACTTTAAAGAATCATCTTGGAGTGATGTCAGAGATGAATGCCAGAGATCAACAAAATGACCGGTTTGGAAGCAAGCGAGAAGTAGAGCTTAACCCCCTAATGGAAACAGGACTGTTTTACAGTGTTAAGGGCCTGTTTCAAGATTTGAACATCCGTTACAACCATCATGACACCAACTCATTATGTTCTATTTTCAATTTGTTTTGCGAAGTAACTGAAGCAGAGATAAAGGAAGCCGAAAGCTCGGAGGCTTTTCTGGTTTGTATCTAACGATCATCGTAGGCCTAAGTTTGTCATCACCTTATTTTCATCTCATTGTGAATGTCCAAGAATCAATGTTTTTAGCTGTTGAATTCAACCATAAGACCTTATTGATTATCGTATTATCCGCCTAGCTTACTGTTTCAAGACATTGTGGTTGACTACGTTTCTTGAATGAAAACTGAACAGAAAAAATGAACACTTACAAACGGTCGCGCTTCAGTCTATACAATTATATATAATTTTAAGAAGGCCTATAAGGTATTCATATATTATAATTACATAATCTCATACACAGATATATATATATATATATATTGTATGTATAGTATATATACTTTTTTCAACAATATATTACTATATAGGCCTATATATATATATATATATATATATAAAAAGTAACACATATATATATATATATATATACACATGCATTATTAGCTGTCTGCTTTTAGGTCATTATTTTGGTGAATAGGTCTATCAAGATGCACATATCTAAATTATAAAAAAATATATATAAATATATATATATATATATATATAAATTCAATTCACGCGCATCAGATGACGGTATGCAGTATATAAACCTATGACATCTGATGTCTGTGCAACTATTGCATCGTATATGGAGTACAATATGACAAATTCAATTAAATACCACATAATTGAATGAAATTTGTCAATGTATTCAAATGGTAATCATTAACGGATGCTATACATAATTTTGTAATTCACATGCCTCGCAAAAATTGGTGAATACTTCAACACAATTACTAGTCTAGCGTCTTTATGTAGGTCACTCGAGCGTTTAACGCCTTCCTAAAACAGAATCCAATACATCACAAAGGAACTCCATCAGATGTTGAGGAGGAAAAAGTACATTATTCGAAATTAGAATAATGTCATCGAGGTCGGTGAGCGTGGTTAGCATAGCAAATCCACGCTCATGACTTTTAAATGCTAAATTTATCGTATAACGGTCATGAACCTCGATAGAAAATGTTACCAGTTACAGATTAAAACTTTGACTTGCTTACACGGAAGAACACGTAGTGGGGCACGTACTCGATATGTATACATTTGCACGTATATACATCAATTATATGCAATACACAATCTACTATTATCAGTGGTTGATACCTTATACGTGTGCCATGTTAT